AGCTCAAGATAGTTCTTGAGCTTTGTTTTAGACGACTTTATTGTGGGTGATGTAACATCAACTTCGAGAAGGGTTAAAGTCCAGTCTCCGACTGTTTGGCAGATAAATGATTGGAGAACGGTTTCTGTTCTTGCAAAGGGACTTTCTACTGTTCTTGAATGATTAAGACGGCTTGATCTTCCAGACTGGTCGTATTGGATAAGGTTTAGTCTAGACAAAGGAGAGAGGCCGTTAAGGATTTTGAAAAAATGTATAGGACGAAAGTATTTTCGTCTTACTTGAAGTAGAGGCAGATTCAATCTCCTAACTAAATTCTGCCCGATAACCTATAACTCACTAGATCTCGATCAAAAAGCGATTTATCACCTCGGGAGGTTCCCTCGTGAGACTAACCATCTATAGAAGGTACACACTTTTCGATGTCGAGTGAACGTTTAGGAGATTTACACATCTAGTAACACACTTTATTTTTTACAGTGTGGAAACGGTTGGAAAGGTAGTTCGTAAACCGTTGTAGGGCTGTTTGAGATAGGTCTAACGCTGACAAACGAGAATTGATTATTTGATAGGGAACTTTGTCAAAGTCTTTCTCCATATCAAATGTGACCAGGACGGTATCTACCGGTAGTTGTTTATTAAGATTATTTGTCAGATTATGTAACAAATATAATAGAGCATCAACTGTCGATGTTTTTGGTAAAAAGCCGAACTGGTTATTGGAAAAGAATTTATTTACACTTAAATGGGTAAACAATTGATCGTAAATAAATCTTCCGAATAGTTTACTTAATAAGTTTTCATCACCTTTACACATTTATTTGATTTCAACAGGATTTTGAGGTATACTAATGACATTATTTCGTTTTATATTTGTAAAAGAAACTCAGGAACACTGAAATAGCTTGACACAAAAAACTCTCTCTTCTCTTGCTCAACTTGAGAGATGATTTTATATATGAATGTACGAAAAGTGTGCACGGTCTTCCGAAATTTAGAAAATTATATGAATTGATTTTATTAAGTGATGAATTTTATACAAAGTTCGACTGAAAACTCAAATGGGTTGAGAATTAATGTATCGATGTTGTCTTGCTTACAATAACCTAGTAATACTAAACAAATGAAATAGAGAACGCATACTAGAGTAGCTACTGAGTGCAATCTACATAAAGCACAACTGGCAAAGTTTGCAAATAAGGCGATGCCCAGTGTGTATATCTTACACTTTACAATAGTATATAAAGTCTAGACTCGTCTCTGTGAAAGAATTCTAGGAAGTCCTGCTCAGATTTAGATAAATATGCATTATCTAGGTTCTTAAACGTGATTAAACAAAAAGGCTTGGAGAATTTTTTATTGGCGCTAAACTCACCAAGGAGATGCAAAGGTCTGAAAAAGAAGACAATTTAGTCAGTGTGTACGTTCTGTGTGATAGGTATTTATTCCCTCTGGAAACAAATGAGGAAATGTTTTTGCTTCCAAATCTTTTCCTGTAAATAATGATGCTCGTTTATGTTTTTCTGCTATTTCATTTTCATCAAAATCTACATAATCTTAACTGATTGTAAACACGTGCTAGTAGGAATAGAATATTTTATTCTTGGATCTTTCGCTTCATCTTGTTCGTCTCCAAACACTTCATCGACTACATTTTCGTCATCATCTGAATCTTTTCTCTGTTTATCCTTTGTATTCGATCTTTTTCTTTATTTTTTACCTTATCTAGTACCAGTTCATCACAACAAAAATAATCGTACTCTTTGTCATCAATTGTTATGCCTTTGTAATGTTCATTTATCTTTTGTAAAATGCGAAGAGCAGAACGAACATTATCAGGCTGAATAATTTGATACTTGTAATATCCGCGATAGTTTAGACGTCATTTTAATTTTAGTCGAATGCAAGCTGCTTTACTACGGTGTCGAGGAAGAACATTCGCTGTATCTTGAACTTCAGAAGGAACACATATCACGGGGCCTATACATCCGTTTTGTCCGCTTTTTGGTAAAGATATCATTTTCATAAATGGTAGTCATACGGGTATGAGATGCCTTTCTAAATCATTCAATACCTTTATTTCATATGGTCCGCTTACTAAATTGTTTTCCATAGCACGGGGCGGCTTGGCTCCTTTTCTTAACTTACGATCACATTCCTTGCAAATCTATTCTTTATTTTCTATACCGTCGTGTGCATCTTTGTTTATATATTTTCCTCTGAAACACTCAGCCGTACTTTCTAAACTCTCCCCTATTGCTTTCTCTAAATAGGTTTTTCTTTCACATGTACGTACATCTTCGACAAACATACAACGATGACATACAGTGCAGATATATCCAGGCATCTATCTGCAAGAATCGTGAAATATATGTTCA